GGACCTCGGACCTCGGGCCGCCACCTCCACCCCACTCACGCCTGGTTGACGAGGCCGAGGCTGCCGAGCCGGCGCACCGCGTCGTTGATGCAGAGCTGCGGACGCGACGCCAGCGCCGCCACGCGGACGTGCCCGGCGTGAGGCGAGCGGCGCACCTCGCCCACAAACTGGCTCAACTGCGAGTGCGTGCGGCTCGTGTAGATGATCTGGAATCGATGACGTCCGTCACCGACCACGCCCAACGCAGGACTGTGGCGAGCATTCTTACAGATGGCTTGCGCATGGTAATACCAAACATTCCAGCATGACAAACTGCATTACCAAGGATGCCGAGATGACTGAACTGAACAACACCATTGCCTGACATATCATGATGTAGCATTGAGCAGTTTATACCATTCAGTGATTGCTGAATTGCAAGATATCACACTGTATGGAACAGTAAGCTTGGAAACAGCTACCGACGCTGGGACGTGTGGGCTTCCGTACCGACTGCGAGGGCGAACAACACGAGGGCATCAAAAAGGCATCAACGAGGGCATCAACGAGGGCATCAAAGTAGCGCGGAGCTTGCAACAAACATGTCAGCAGACACGCACACGCTCGACTGGCCCGATGGGGCTCCCGAACGGCGACGTGCCGCACCTGCGTGCCGTGGTACGCCTCCTCGTCACCGTCGCCGCCCTCGTCCGAGGACCCAGCCTCCTCGTCGCTGTGGAAGTCAGCAATCAGGTCCGCGTCGTCTCCCTGCGGCGCCGACGACGATTCCGGCTCGATGACGTCGCCAAACAGCTCGCGGAACTCGGCCTCCTGGCGGCTCAGCTCGGTACTCTGCGGGGGAAGTCAGAGGCGTGAGAGCCTCACCCGAACCCAAGCGGGCTCAGCTCGGTACTCTGCGGGGGAAGTCAGAGGCGTGAGAGCCTCACCCGAACCCAAGCGGACGACATGCAGTCTTAAGCCAGGATATGCCGTCGTTACACAGCGTGGTTCTTTCGGGAGCTGGTCAATTGATGTCCGCAATGCCCTAAGCATACACCTGAAACAGCACCAAACCTCAGCCTCAGTATGACTTGGAAACTGGAAGACTATTTTTCCTGGGTTTTGTTGCTTTAAGCAAATAATGCTTGCCACATTACCACATCAACGACGAAACATCAAAAATGACACCTCTGGCCGCTCCGTCCTGCCCCTCCCCCGCCTGCCTCACCTGCGCAGGCGGCCGGCGGCCGGGCCGGAGCGTGACGCGGGCGCGCGCGCGTCGCAGCGCCGCCAGCCGCCGCTCGGCCAGCTGCAGCTGCTGGCGGCGCTGGCGGTCAGCCGCCTGGTCAGCCAGCCAGTCGCCGGGCTGGGCGGCGGGCGCAGCGGCCGGCGGCGGCGCGCGCAGCTCCTCCACAGCCGCCTCGGCAGCAGCCTGCTCGCGCGCCTCGTGGTCGCGCAGCCAGCGCACGGCGCCGCAGATCAGCGCCAGGGACTTGCCCTGGGGAGAGGGGAGGGTCAAGCTGAGTTGACGTAGTGGGATGTGGTGCTGCCAGACTTGGGTCTATGGCTGGAATACTGGGGAAGCAAAGGAGTAGTGATTGATGGAGTGGAGGCCAGACCAGGGTCTTGCTATACTTATCAGGAGATGGAAAGATCAGCTTCAATAACATGTGCAAAAACTGCATCAACTTTTTCTGCATTCAAGCTGCCTGATGCTGGTTCTGGATGAAGACAGATGCATCTGAGATAAATATACTAAATTGGTCATTATGAGCTTAGATGCAAATGGTACTGCACAACATGATGCCTTACAGCACAAAAGTATCACTATGTGCAAATTATGCCAGAGAATGCAAACTTACAGTGCCTGTAGGGCTTTCAAAAATTCCATGCTTTTTCTCCTCCAAGGCCCAGTATAATGTTTTCATAAACTCTTCTTGAGCCTTGTATGGTGGAAATGGAAATTCAAATATCTCAGGTGGCTCCATTTCTTGCACTGAAGAATATTCTGAGTTGATATCTGAAATGTTCATTTCATACAGGCATAAGCCTTGTGCTTTTCCAAGCAGGCAAATTCATCTCATATTAAGTTGCAATCATCATAAAGAAAACCTTTGAAGTTTTGATTTACATTTTTAGGCATTGGGCTTTACATCAGATGCATCCATGCCATTCTTATAAATATCATTTGTGGACAGTGTGGGAAACTGATACAAGCAGCATGAGAATAAGAAGTCTTGGCATATAAGACTAGCATTTGTATAACACACTTTCAACAGAAGGTACTAATATTAAGTACTTTGCTTGCCCCAAAAAGCTTTTCATAAATGTCTCAGTACCTGCCAGCTAAGTACTTAAGGAGGCAGACACAGTTGATTTTTTGTTTTAACATAAATTTTGTGATCCACTTGCCAGACTACAGCTGGCACGGATACCTTCGGATCAATCTACAGCATAGTTTGACTTCGGCTGCTGTGATTGTGTCATATCATTGCAATAAGGTACTCTTAGAGGAATATGAAGGTGTTAACAGAATTAATAAATGTATGTTATATGTACTGATGACAACATGGCATAGCTTATTTGTGAGGTTTAGCTGATACAATTGCATTCATTCATCTTGCACCTTTATCACCTTTAAAGAACTCACTATGAGAGGTGAGATATGTGCCACCTAATCTAGTCCATTACCAGCATGTTACACATGACATAAATCAAGTATGAAATGCTGCACAAATGAGGGTTTTCTAAAAACCTTTTATTTTTAAGAATGACATGAATGCAACACAACTAGCATTCATCTCAAAAAAGTTCCACTTAAAAACATCGCAGGAAACACAAGCGAACATCATGGAACATGTGGTGGCCAGATATCACCAATCCCAGAACGGCTCATGCGATTGCATTCTGGCTTTCGATTGCCGTTTAAAGAAACCTTTTCAGCGGTTCTGTGGTTTGGACTTGGCTGCGCGAACACCCGTGTAGCAGCACTACCCTAGCGGAATACTGTCCTCACGAATCAGCTCGTTTCCCGCCACCAGATTTGCAACTACCGCGCGAACCAACTTCCGCAAGCTTCGGCTTCGGGACAAAAAGGCAGGCCAAATATGTTGACAACGCCGTACCTGAGTTTTTGGCTCCGATCGACGCTAAACCTTCGCCATTTGAGGCCATTGGACAATAATCTTGCCTCTCCAGAATATGGTGATCTTGGGTCAGCTGAGAGGTCACCAAAAATACAAAAAACCGGAAAAGTAAGGGCGTAAACATTCCTGCGCTCTAAACCCACGGCACCGATCAACATAGAACACCCACCAATCGATGTGCCATAGCCGACATCCTATCCTTTCAGTATATGGTATCTTAGTCTAGTCAAAGTTCACCTAAAATTCCCAAAACCACCAAATTTGGCTGCAGTCGAACCCATGCTACAAGCCTGTGGGACCGATCCGTATGAACCCTTCAGCAATCGATGTGCCAAATACGTTAAGATATCGACTATGGCATATCCATTGCTTTCATGCTGATGGATCCCATAGGTGCGGAGCATTGGGTTGTCCGCAGCCAATTCTGGCGGTGTTGGACGCTTTTGACGTGACCCAAGGTCACCATATTCTAGAGAGGAGAGAGTACCGAACAAGCGACATCGAATGAAAGGCTCGGAGCTTGGGTTGTCGGCAGGTTTGGTCGGCCGTTTAGTGCTTCGCTTCGGCTTCGCTTCAATTAAAAACAAAACTGCGATAAAATGAGAGTATGAGGCCTCAAAGCCCGGGCGCGCAGTATTCGAGATGAGCACCCCTTTACACATACGAACCCCGACCGCCTCGCACAATTTGGTGCCGAGAACGGCAATATCTGGGAAAAACCGTTACAATAACGTATAAGGTTACTTGCTCCTTACCTGCTGGTTATCTGCTCTCGGGCAACGGCAAAGCAAGGAATCAGAAAGTCATCTGAAATCCCCAAACACAAAACAAAATCTGATGAGATATTGTCTGCTGTGCAAGGATAGGTCGCTCCTTACGCCAAGTGCCTCATGCACTAATGAGAATTGTGACCGCGCCAGTCGCAGAAATAATGCAGCAACATCAAGGACATCTAGGCGGGCCCATGGTTTTTTGAGAAATGGAAACAAGATCTAGAGAAGAGAGAAGCAAACCCTTCCCAATCTGGTTTGAGAATTTCCCTGGCATAGCGGCTGATACGCGTTTTTCGTACGTATTGTTTGTGTTTCGTACGTAGTTCTCCAATTTCAATGCTCGACTGAAAGTTAGTGTATCGCTTCATTCGGTAGATGTAAATTCGGGGCTGGAGGCTATTGCCCCCCAAAAGATATGGGAACTGTTGGCAAAAATAGATGTGAAACGCGGAATTGATATGGCATGCTCGTCCGAAACAAGATATTGGTGACAGCATACGACCCACACTAATTCGTTACCCAGGGGCGCTGCTCCGCTTAGTGAGAGTGGGGGGGGGGGATTGAGCTGCCAAAAATTATGAAACCTAAATCCGAGATCTGCCCAAAAACGGCTTCTTCTGGATTTGAACTACTTTCCTCTCAAAGCTTAGAGGACTCTAGCCTGAGTTGGCGTGTGGGGGGGGGGGGGGGTAATCTCCAACTGCTTGAACTGATAACAAAACCATATACCTAACATTAACCCCCAAGCTTTTTCAGCACGCTTTTAGGATGATTAAAAACTGGTGAGTTATTATGGGGAAAAAAACTTCGACCTCGCCAGTAACGCTTCACCGAACGTCAATCTGCTCAGACAAATGTTCTTTGCGGTTGTATTGCGATTGGATGACGTGCGCACAACATTGCTGCTGCCCCGTTCCCAGGCAATCATTATGGTGAAGATCGACAACAAAGGCCCGGCCGACCGGCCTTGAGAAACGAGGCGGATTATCGGCACCACGCGACAGCACTCGGCAACCGGCGAACAGCACAACTAACAGAGGATATGGGTCGAAAACGACAGCAATCAGTGCCGCCCTGAGGCATTGTACAAATACGCACTCGCCTACAGCCGCCGGCGCCTGCGGACTACGGACGGCGAGGCGGAGAGGCCGCTCAGACAGCGTGCCAGCCCGCGGCAGCCACACGGCCGGCGCGGGCGCGTTCGGTGGGGCGGCGCCGCGCGCCCAGCCGCGACTACAACGCCCTGCGGGACCGGCGGAGCACTGCAACACGCGACGGGCGGCGGCGACGGCGCCAGGCGTTACGGACCCCGAGCGCGTAGCTCGCGCCCCGACCAGTGTTCCTGGGGTCGAGCGCGCTCCACTATCTGGCGCCGCCGGTGTCCGGCTCGGGCTCGCCGTCGGCGGCCCTCCTGCTCCGACTCGTCCCTCTGCCGCCGCTTCTTGGCGCGTATTGTCGGGCTAGGGTCTCCTCGAATGGACCGCTTGTCGGTCTTCAGCGAGCTCGACACTGGCGGCGAGCACGGACACACGCCGGTTAAAGGACGGGCACTTCATCACGGAAAGGGACTGCACTATACGTGAATTGCATATTTAATATGGGACATATTTCCCCATCTCCATGTTGTCCATCTGATGCAACGGCTTTGTGGTGATCGTCAGACCGACACAACACACAAAAAGGGTCCGGTATTTGAGCGGCACACCCCTGTTGCCATACCACTGTACCCACACCCTGAATGGCAACCTTTGTGCCATACATCTGAATGTCACACCTCTGAATGTAATATCTCTGAATGACAGATATCCGTACCATACCTCTGAAAGGCATGCCATCTGTGCCATATCCATGAATGTCATTAGTGGGATGGCATATCTCTGAATGTCATACCTTTGAAACCAATGCCTCTGTGTCTTACATATGTGTCATACCTCTGTGTTATACCTCTGTGGCATACCTCTGTATCATACCTCTCATCGCTGAGACGCAAGACAAAAATCGCTCAGGCCCGCAAGTCCACGTGGTATCTTCTCCACCAGCTCAGCACATGATAAAAGCACGGGATGCCTGGTCCCCTTGCCTTAATTTTTTACACCGCATTCGGTCAAAACGTCTGCAGTTTGGCAGCGCTCGGCGTGGCCGGCGCGGTCGTACTCACCACACCAAACGACGAGTTTGACGGCGGCGCGCTGCGCAGAGTCGTCGGCGAACAGGTGCTGTCGCTTCTGCAGGAAGGCGGCGGGCGGCGGCGGTGGCGCCTTCTTGCCGCGTCGCTGCCGCTGCTCCTGCTCCGCAAGCTGCTCGGCCAGGTCCACGCTGTGGGCACATGGGGTCACGGGGGTCACGCATCTGGTCCCAGGTCGCGCGAACCCCGGCGAGAGAGCGGACGCATTCGCGCCCTGGGGCGTGGTCTCCTATGCAACAGCTGTCTGGTGATCCACACGCAGTTGGGTTGATTCTTGACCTGTTTTATCTTACTGGCCTTCTTGTGGCATTGTTGTAAGAATCGCCCGAATCTGACTTAGCTGTTGCAGCCGCAAACGTCGATTAACGCTGTCACGATATTAAAATCCGCACTAAGCAAATAGCTGTTGGTATCGTGTAGTCTCACCACGGCAAATGGGATCACAATACATTCCATCATCTGCTCAGACAACTTCTAATGAATTTCCGTGCCCCTGGCTTCAATAAAAACAAAATTTTGCACCCCAGATTGTGATCTTCAGGGAATTGGGCGTACCGCAAGGCTAAAAATACTCAACCAGGTTACTGCGAATGATGTTGATTCACAAAACATTCTTATCGCCGGTCCATCGATAACTACGCTGCAATACTTAAGGCAACTTTTGTTTTGAAGTTTTTGACAAGGCGACAAAGCACAAACTTGGTATGTTTTAAGGGTGTAGGAAACGTGCACATCAGTGCTGCGTGTAACGAAAGCTGATGGCAGGGTCCAGATCAGTCAAACCTTGCCAGTTCCAATCTGAACCGAGCGCATCTGAACTGGCAACCATCACTGTGCCGGTCCCAGAATTTGGGGCAAATCTACAACTATAAGTCAAAACACCACACAGAGGTTCGGTGAGTCGAACCCTACATTACTTGCCAAAGTACCAATTTCACCGTTGTTCTGCACCGGTCACCAAGCAGAAGAACAAAAAAAAAACTGGTCACAAATTACAAGGATTGTGGTTTACTATACTTCAAAAAAAACACACACTTGCACAGCTGGCTGGGCGGGCCCGTTCTCGTCCGACATCGGCTCACCCCCCTCCGCCGCCTGGGCGACGCCACACACCTGGAACGCCTCCTCCTTGGCCCGGGCCGGTCGTACTCCTCGCCGCGCCGCAGGGCGGCCACCTCCTCGGCCGCCAGCTCGTACTCCTTCTTTGAACAGCATGATGTGCCGGTCGACGCCCTCCTCGCCGAACGCGTGACACACGAGGCCCGCCACCTCGGCCACATCGTGGCTGCCGGTCAGCAAAGCACAGGTCATCGGGCCGTGGTCATCCAGCCTGCGATCCCACAAGAGAACGAGAACGCTGTGTGGACTAAAGGATGAATCCCACTACGAGAACGAGACCACTGTGTGGGCTTAAGAGATGCCACCGCCGCGATTAATCTTCTGTTCAGCCACGTACAGAAAAAGGAAGAGCATCCCTGCCAGACCATATCGGAACTTCTTTTCGCCGCTCCCCGCTGGAGTATTTATGTAGCGTAGCACTCCGGGCCACAATTTTGCAGAACGGCGAGCAGAAGCAAAGAAAGCGGAGTAGCAGTATCCCCCGTTGTGCTACCCGCTCAAGCGGAAAGTCGGTTGATCAAGCTACCGTGTTCCCCTCGACTTAGAAATACTAAAGCTGTAAATCATGTTTTTTTTGCGCTCAATCCTTTTGTGCCAGTAGCAGCTACTTTAGTGATGTGAGTGGAGACACCCAGCTACAAGTACACTGCAAAATATCACATGACAAACCATAATATGGCATGTCATACAGAGATGACATGGTGCTGTTTGAAAACGTGCCAGAAGCCTAGTAACTGACTTATAAGCCCATTAACTGCATAGATGGGTTTATTTGTATCCATCTACCCAAGGAATGAAGAAAAAAAAGCATATGTTGCATGCTCACAGTATGCTCCTTTGGACTTCATTCATTGGTGGAAACTGCTTCTTCAGTAACACATCATCTTTCATGAACTTCTGTACTTCTGTTTCAGCCTGCAACAAATGAAGTTACATCAATTTTAGTAGAAGCTACAGCAAGTTGTTACATGCACTTGTGAGGAACGTTATGCACATAGATGAGGCAGTAGTAATGGCCTTCTTCCTCGGCGAAAAAACAGGAGAATAGAGATATAGAATGGCCTTCTGTCATTCACTTCTATAGGCATGTTGCCAAAATATCACCACATCTATATCTCTATTCTCCTGTTTTTTTCTGAGGAATAAGGACATCCCTACTACCTTATCTATGAAGAGTAAAGCAGATGATGTGCTCAAAGCCAGCTAAGCAGTCAACTAGTACTTGAACACACAGTACTGGAGGCTTCTTGCTAACCCTCCAGATCAGGTTGACCATGTCAATCTCAAGCATGAAGTAAAAAAATGCATCCAATTACTCATGCAAATGCATTCTGAATCAAACTGGGTGCCCAATGGCCTGGGGATGATAAAAGGACAAATAAGCTTATGTTAGGTGAATAATTGGCCTAGTTTACCTAACACAAGAGTCTGATCTACTAACAGTGCCTTGAGGGGCTGCAGACTTGATACCCTTGATTGGACAAGGCAAAATATGCAATCAATGCATGATACTCTTTTACCAAGTTTGATAGTGGCCCCCTGATATCTGAATCACCAAAGGTCCAAAAACTGCAGGAATTTGCATCTTGGAAAAACAGTTCTATCAATAGCAATCATGTCAACATTTGACTCCTGGGATTTCAGACCAAGGCTCATATCTTTCAAAAATGAAGAAATAGTCACCATTCAGCAATACTGTTTGTCAAATAACAAGACAGATGGAAGCACGATATGAGCCACTAACACAATGACACACATCATAACATATACATACAACATACCAGGAGAAAACACCCTGCATACCTCTTTGCGAAACTTCAGGAGCATTCCTTTTCTTTTTCTTTCAGTTTTCTTTGCTTCCTCTATTTGTTTCTTCTTTGCTTCCCTCTGTGCTTGGGTAGTTGTTACTGGAGGCTTCTCCATCTTACTCATTATAGACCCCAACAGGTCCATGTTTGAACTTTGATGTGAAGAACAGGCCTGTTTCAGAGGCTGTCCCTAATCTCCTGAAATCAAACTTTGTAGAGTAAGGAGGTAACAATGCTGATTTACACTGCTGGCAACAGGCCAAATAGGTTAATAATGACATGAAATGCTCCAAAGCCAAACTTACTAGAATAGCATGATTACAATAAAAATCACAGGTGCTGGCTAGTGACAAGAGCTGTCAGATTCAGTGCCCATTGTCTTTTCACCTCAATCAATGTGAGCAATTGCATTTTCAGGTACAACACAGGTCTGAGCCAAATGATTCAAAAAATAAATTGATCAACATAGTTAAACTCCAAACAATACACATAAATGCCCATAACTGTGGTATTTGAAACAGAGCATGATTGGGCAAGTGGGGTTACAACATTAATAAAAGATGTGATAAATTAAATAGCCACTTGTTTGGTTCCATATCCTGATGAAAAGGGTATTGTTATTGAACAGGAAGATAGCTTTACTTCTTAGCAGCAGAAGAAAATAACTGTATCATACTTCCATCATAACAGTAAGGCATAAGCTACATACAGCTTTCAATCATCACACTTGCTTTCAAGCCTCATGAGAGCATTGTATAAGTGGGTAGTCCCTTTGTGGCTTATTGCATTGCATACAAATTACAACCCATGTTCACTTAAATACGCCACCGCAGCAGTACACAGCGCAGGCGTTAAATATTGCATTCCCCACTGATTTTAATATAAAGAGCATGTGCCAACCACCAACACAAACCGAGCTCCTGCAAACGTCCGTCTCACTCGGTTTTCTGACAGGTGTATATATGCCTATCCTTATCTTTTCTAATTATTGGACTTCCAGCCAACCAACCTACGAAGTAAATCGTTTGGTGGCGTACTGCGCAGCGTACAATAATATCTAGTAGCCTAGGTAACATCGACGACACCCTGCAAATCCTTGCATATTTCGCAGCAGCAGTATTGTCACATATGCGTTGTAATGGCAACCATATTTAGGGATGGACAAGACTTCCAGACGGTATTTGCCGATTGATTTATTGTGCTATCGTGTGTTAATGAAGTCGCCATTTTTCATCAGCTTTACTTTCAGTGTTCCAACACTGTTTCGCAATCTATTGGCTGCCTTGCAACTACCCATCTCTTTCACAGCGCTAAGATCAGAGTACGCCACCTTGGCTCATGATTTCCCTGAGACCTGGACTTCTTGGGGCTTCGAGTTTTTTCTTCCCCAGTTCCTCCTCAACGGTCTCATTCTAAACACATAAAACAGCTACCTTCTCCGAAGCTCCATCTTGGACACTCCAGTGTTTCACTAAGTCATGAACGGTGGACACTGGAGTGCATGTAGATGTTATTGTCCTCGCGTGCTCTCACCTTCACATATGCATTGATGCATGCACTTATAGACACAACGACCAATTTGCGCATAACACACTCACTCAAATTGTAAATGATGAATAGACTAGGGATCTGATCGCGCCCAAGTCGCATTGTTCGCAAGCTTAGACACACCGTTTTTGCGGGTGTCATAATTGTGCAGGGGGACACACGTCCCAAGCAGAATCGTGCTCATGAGCGCCTTCAATCACAGACAGAATCATAACATGATTCCGTCTTCTCCCGCCGCGCGGAGGACGCTCGGTAGGGGGGGGGGGGCGAGGGGAGTCAGCCCAGGTCTCTGAAAATGACGCTCTGTGGAACAACTGGGGTGAGTGGATAACAACCATGCTGAATAAGCCTGTGTCCCTGCTGACCTTGCCTGACTCCTCGAATCATTCAATGATCGGTTCGAGAAGGGTTCACTGGAAAATGGGACGAACGCCGGGTCAGTCTGTCACCGATCATGGGCCTGCATGCGTGGACATCGTTTTGCAAAAGCAGCCTCTTTGAGTGGGGGCTGCACCGGTAGGATGTGGTGGGTTAAAACGCCGTCTTCTCTCGCATCGGGTCCATTTTGTTTTGGTATCCGGAGAAAATTAAACGTTATCTCATGATTCACTTATCTCCTTGAATTGCTTGACCTTTTTTGACCGCGATCTGAGGGGTGAGTGGCTTTTGGTCAGATTTGGGGGAGGGGAACGAGGCTAAGCTGTGACCTGAAGGGCCTCCGCCTCCTCTCCGAATAAATACGATCCGGTACCCACGCTCGCATGCCTTGGTCGCCACATATGCGGAGTCTCCACCACGCTTCATTGGTCAAGTGTTAGGGATGACATCAGTGCTTTAGTTTGGCCGTAGAACCCCGTGCGCATATCTCTTTGCCCATACCCTTATCGCTTGCCCAGCGCGACACGCCGGGCAGCCCTGCGAGGCGCGCAGTGATTGGCCCGTGGTCACGTGACGCCGTGTCGGGGTCGGGTCGCAGGGCGCGGGGGAGCGGGACTGTGCTGGCGGGGCCGGGCGAGCGCGGGCGGGGCGAGATGCTGGCGTGCAGGGGCGCGGAGGCGTCAGGTTGGAAATAGATCACGAGCCGTGCCTTGTAGCCGATCTCGGCCAGGCTTGTGGACAGGTGCGGGCTTACCAGGGGTGGTGGTAAATTGGCCGCATTCGTTTGTCTGTTACTTTGCTCAAGCAAGTTCCGCGCTTAGTAATTGGGATCCCCAATGCTAGGTTTTTGCCATTGTTTGCCTTGTTTTGATTCGCTGGCCTCTAACATTAGCAAAATCATTATTATCACTATCACCAAAATACTCAAGAGTGGGATCAGGTGAAAGCTTCAATTAGTTAGTCTGACGTAGGCGATAACAAATGATGGTATACGACGGCTGAAGACAACAAGTTATATTTATGGTGCCTTTAACATTGCCTTACTTTCGCAAACATTTTGATTGGCTGACGGAATGGGCCACGACACAGTAGCGTTTGAGAATATCTGGACAATTATATGTGGTGAGCATCAAACAAACTGTACCCTAGTGACCTCAGTGTCCAGCTTCACTGGTCACACCGATTTTTCACAATCCCGATTTCCGTCCAGATTTAACGATTTTCCACATATTCAACCATCGCGAAAAGCCTGCTGCGGCGATCATGTCTTGCGGCCGTGACGGTCATCAGGAAGACGTGTCCGCAGGTGCAGGGAGAAGCCGCAGCAACTTGCGCTCACGTTAGCAGCACAGGTTTGCCTGCGAGTTAGCTGAACGTCGTCGGCGACTATGTCGAAAAGCTGTGGCAAGTATGCACGAGCCCATATCAAATGCTTTGACGCCTTCCAGTGAACAACTTACGAAGGCGACCAGTACCCGGGCAAGAGTCCGGACAGCTGCTCGCCTGCCGTTGAACCAGCTCACAGAGCAGACGATATGGGCCACGATCCGCACCGCCAGGCCGGTTCGCGACCACACCCCGCCGCATCGCAACGTTCAAGACGACCCGGCCGCGTCGTCGTGTCCGGCGGCGAAGCCCGGGCGTCCGGCAGCCCCGTGCCGTGCCCCACCACCACCGTCACGGCACCCGCCGTCCCTCTCGCCGGCCGCCGCGGATGACACGCGGGGTGACGCGCCGAGAAGGCCCCCGCCCGATGCGGCACAAAGGGCCGCCCGCTCCCCTCGCCCGGGGGCCCATCGGCGCCGACGGCCGCGCGGGAGCTTTTGATCCTCCGGCCGACGCGGGTTCGGCCCATGTTTTTGCCGGAGTACGGCCTCTGGCGCCGCTCCCCGGGCGCGCAGCCCGCGGGTTGTTCGGCACAGCTGCGCGCGGACCGGAGCAGTGAGTGTACCGCGACGTAGGGGTGTCGGGGGCCGCAAGAAGGCTTCCGACGCAATCCGGGCGCGAGGGTCGGGCGGGGCGCACGTGTGGCTGGAGCAATAACCGCCTCCGCGCGAAGACTTCGCACCAGATTTCACCCGAACGGTAGGCTTGGGCTTTGATTAAGATGTGAGGTCTTGTATGGATCCGAACGCTCACCCGAACGGTAGGCTTGGGCTATGGTTGGGATGTGAGGCCTTGTATTGGGTCCGAACGGTGTTAGCGGCCGGTGCATGTCGCGTATTTCGCGATCTTGGAGCGGTTCACAATAACGCCAGAACTGGTGTATTCGCGGCATGGTACGGTCGTCTGTAGACTTGTGCTTGACTCCGAAAAGAGGTGGAGTCTACCACTAAATAGGCGAACGTGGCGATTTGGAGTCGGAGTTCCAGTGACTGTAAAAGCCCGATGAGTGGACTCAATTCGTGATCTAAATAACGAAAAGTTTTCTTACTCTGACAGCTATCACATGTGCAGCAAATTGAGCTCCGGGTGTTTTGATGGTTTACAATCAAGACATATTTTCAATCTCGGCTTATGATAGTCCTAGGAGTGGTTTATACCTCAAACAATTTTACCCAAACTTACAACGTCGGAATCGGTTCGTTAGGTTAGCTCCTCGTTCTTTAATGGGAATCGGGCCCGGCTCAAGATGAGATCGCGCCGCTCGGGGTCAGAGTCGGAAACAATTTTATGCATTGGGGAGTCGGAATCAGAATCGATGTCGCTGGAGTGTAATAGAGCACATGCTTGATCACCTGCTTCCATTTGCATTTTGTGCATGTCACCATGTCACAGATATATGTATGTTGTCATACATGACAGTCGCTGAAAATCCACCCTGAAGGGATTCGGCTGCCCAAAAACCATTTTTGAGAAAACTTTATTGAAAGTTGCAGCATACTGACCTGGTTCATGTAACACCACTATTTTGCCGATTTCTGTCGTAATTTTGCATTTTTGCCGATATCTTCTGTTGTACTAAGTTCGCAGAAGTCTGGCCTTAAGGCATAACCCCAGCCGTAACACATCTATGCTCACATCTCTGGCGGGAGGCCAGACGAGGCGTTTTGACGAAGTCCGTGGTGTCGCAGTCGGTGGCCAAGTGCAACAGCGGCAGCATTTTAATCGTCCGGTGTTTGCGGAAATTGAACAGCTCTTTTAGATATATTATTTTTCTGCAAGCTTTATGGATGATAACTCACGGAAGCGGTGCCGGCAGCCCCACTCACCCCTGTCACGTCATCCGTAAATCAATGATATGGTTTCGCTCGGCGGAAGCTGTTCCGAACCCTGCTCCAAGTGGCTCAAGAAGTCACCATCAACAATGCATGTCTGCCTGCTTTGTAACGTTGTGCTTTTCCCCTCGGGGTACCCACCGGGTGGGCTTGATGACGTACGTCATTTTGATAGTTCACGCTGTTGGATTCAACAAACAAACTTTGTTTGACATCGTTGTCAAGCGCCTGACGCCTGACTGGCCACTACTCACTTGAATCTGTACTGTTTTTTAAACGCTGTCCGATAGCATATGAATCTCTCTAAGGAAAATCTGCATCAGTTTTTCATATACCCACTGACGGTGTAGCACCCTTGGGTTACAAAAACGTTAGCCTGGAGCTTCGGTCATAAAAAGTAGTGAATATATAGATATATATATATATATATATATTACATGTATATATACATATATATATATATATATATATATATATATATATATATATATATATATGCAATATACATACATATAAGCATATACATATCAATAATGAATGATAACGCATGACATGTAGCTGATGCCATACCATTGATTATGACGGTACACGTTGGCCCAGCCCACCCTGCATACATGCCCCTGTCTCTCGGCACCGCCCGCAGCCCACAGTCTGTCTTCGCCCACAGTCGCTGTCGTCGGTCGCCATGCTGCGCGCGCTGCTGCTGGTGGTGGTGGCGGTGGCGGTGCTTCCGCTCGGCGGCGCCGTGACCTCGTGAGTACCGCGCAAACACAGCTGGGCCGGCGCAGCTCTTCCTATCTCGGCGCGTCCCCCCAGCCCCTGGCGTCGGTTCGCGCTCAGAGATAACGGCAACAGCACGCGCCGCTTTGTTGCCCGCCGGTGTGGGCAGAAACGGAAAACGCGTTAACGCGCGGGTGCGTTAATGCACGGTTTCTTTGCGGGTTTCTGTGCAGGAATGGATGAAGTTGAGCTTTGTGAAACCGCAATCCTGCTTTGCTAGGAATCGGTTGACATCCAGCAGTGGTCTAAGATGTTATCGCTCCGTGCAATAAATATTTATGATCAAAGTGTAAATATACGTTAGTATTTATCAAGTTAAATTAGGCGCAGTTTCCAATTTTAGGCATCCCAACCTGACTTTGGACGTCCTTGGGCATCATGCATGCAAGCTCCACAGATGGACCAAGGGCCGTCTCAAGGCCCGCTGAAAGGCCTTTACCACCACACTACAATTGTAGTTATAGTGCATCAAACGACAGGCAGCGTGTTGGAACGGTCCGTGGATAACATTAACTTGTGAACAAGGTGGGCGTTTGACCACCAATCTCGACGAATTCCGTGCAATTCGCATGAGCTGGCATGTCATACCGCCGTGCACCCCTCCCATGCAGCCAACCGCTAGAGGGTGTTGGGCCGCACTATCTGCTCAGTGCCGTTCCATCCAGTCCCGTCTTGGTGAGGACCCATCGTCTGCTGGGGCTCTAACCACACCAGATCACCGGTCGCGGTCAATAATCCTTGGAGCTACTGAAAACAGGACATGCTTTGCATAGTGACGCACGCGCCATGTTTGGTGCTACTTGCGATAGCTTGGTTTAGTCTAGCTCGTGCAGTGCGAGTTCGTTTACAAAACTAGGACGCGGCTGCTGTGTGTTCATGTGGAGCTGTGTTGAAGTTCGGAAATGCCTCGGGGACAAGCCGCCCGTCAGCTGGCCATGGGGTCCCGAGCGACTGCGGTAGAGGAACGAACTGCTGATTCAGGCACGAACAGGGCGCGTTAGTATAACGTGATGTGATTGTCAGCATATGGAAAGTTTCCGATAGCGCTGGGATGCGATCCCGCGACCGAAGCGGAAGAAGATGCGTGTTCGGAGCTCGCACCAAACCGCCGCCCCCGGAAGCCGCTCCGCCCTCGTCCGCCGCCGTCGGTGTTGATCCTCATGTCCCCGAGAGGCGACGGTTATGTGCGCCACAGACGCCGAAGGGGAGGGCTCCGGGGGCGGCGAGGGGTGACGGCCGGGAGAAGAGCTCGCCCACCGGGTGTGCGATGGGAGGGACAGTCGGTCGCCAGCTGTAAATATTTATCCCCGGACGGCCGTATGGTTGCATAAACACCGTCACCAGTGAGGACAACCACCGGGCGAGCCGTTGTCTCGGGGGGTCACACTGCACGTGCCGCGAACGGCGACGCAACGATGTCGGACGCTTCGCTGTCTGTTGACCTTCACGTGGCAGCTGTTTAGAACAGGGTTTGATTGCTTCACAACGCGTGTGACGGTGGAAGGTCTTAGCACTGCAGCCCCTCACGGTTATCAAAGGACCGTCTGGAACCGACGGCGTTTTGGGCCAAGAACGGCGCGGAACTGTTGAGCTCCCGCGTCCCCGGCCATCGAAATTCGCACCTATATTGTTAAGATGGTGCGTAGTGTATGCAGTATTACTGCGATTAATATTTTCCGCGTCACTCGAAACCTCGCTTAAAGACGAATCGTTTAATGCCATGTTTGACATTTCTGGCAACAGCTTGATTGAATTCGGCTCATGGACGCGACTCTGTTTACCAAACAAAAGCGCGGCTCTGCGCGATGTCCATTTGGAACATCTTGAAGTTCTGGATGGCGGCGAGTCTTGCATGCAAAGACCTGGTTGTGAAAATAGTTATTTCTTTACAGCGATGTCCTTTTTATGCGACGGCAAGTAAATGTTTAACATAACATTGATAATCAAGGTTGACAAAGGCTGTTGGATGATACTCCATAGATCACATTTCTGGGGTGCATATCGCGGTCAGCGAGGCCTGTAAGCCACACAAACAAGTATTTTGCGACGACCCAAACAGCATTTTAAGCACACCGCAAAAGATTCTTGTTTGATTGAGATAGATGGATTTAGGCAATCTTATAGGGCACGCCTTTGTTTAACCGAACAGATCGCAGCTGCTTTATGTTCATATAGTATATCTTTACATTCGCGATATTTTTACCGGTTTTCCTCCGAATCACCATCCATAGTGCCGAGCGGGTTTGTATCTCCAGGAGTACAACTTCCGGTGCCATTATGCCGAGTTTCACAGAGCTCCGCTCTAGATTCCACCATAGTGCCGCGTCCACAGTTAGTTCCGCACATTACACATTCCAATTCCATAAAGATCGAGATGCATCCTTCCAGAAATGCGAAATTACATTCCCAGTTATATCGCCTACCATGAGAACATCATCACGAAGGTGATGTCCTGTTCTCGGCTGGTCTCCTCTCTCTGCGCATGGCCGATGGCACAGAAAGAGTAAACACGTCCTAATATGTTAGGTGTTCGAGTTTTTTTCGCCATTAAACTACTGCTTTTTGGAAGCAAACCTGCGTTCCCTTCCCGCGAAAATGAGTATATCAAAACTGCTGTCGTAAGCTCAGTTTCTTGTTGCGTTTTAAAAAGCCAGGCTGAACTCATAGTCATATTAATATCATCAATCCCTCTGAAGCCCCTTTCATCGGGACTTTAGACGCGGCCGACTTCAACTGGAGCGTTTGGCTTCGCATGGGCGTCCATCTGGCAGCTCTCCAGTAGGCTCTTGACAGACGCGCCACATTCGTTTCCTTTAGCGTAAGGACCTGGTCCTCGTCAGTCTCTCAGTGTCAATCCGCTCCGGTTCGGTCATCAATCACAAACTCCTCCGTTTCATCAGCTCTACGTAACGGATAAGCAGATCATATCTTCCGGCTGTCCCCAAACGGTAACAGCACCCTGACCCCATTCGACGTCATTTATCATTCACAACGGCTGGGCAGAGTGACAGCACGCATGCTCATCACCGCCTGCATCTGTTTGCGGCGCGTAAACTTACTCCCTTTAATGGCGTCACTCGTAATAAACTTGGACAGCGTTCGTGCGCCAGGGCTCCCCTCCCGCCTGACCTCAGTTGGTTGCGCCTGCCAGTAATTTACTGCCGTCGCTGCCAAACGCCGCCTCGTGATTTACCGCCATCATCATTGGTCAGGAGGTCTGACGTCACGTGGCGGTCGCGGATCCCGCGTTTCTCTGACTGACCCGACCCGACCCGCCGGTGCTGAACAGGGGCGGACCCGGTTCCGCGTCTAACCGCTGCATCGTTTCACGTTACACTTATGCAATGCCTGGAGAGATGCAACCAAGCGAGAGGAAGTTCTGCTTCGCAAAGATCCCGGTGCGGGCATCTCAAATTTGCAAGAATATGCTGCGTCACTCCTTGCGATGTGAGCGCCTCCCTCCAAATTCGAGATGCACGTAAGAAACTCGAACGAAATCTGTCCAACCCATTGCTGTCTTGCTGGTCGCGTTTGTGACGATATAAACAGGCTACTCGCCGCATACCCAGTAACGCTACAAAGGCCCATGTGCTGGTCCCAGGGTGTGCACTTCGAAGTAAGTCACGTGTACCCTGTTTGCACGGCGGTCGAAGGTAGTTGGAATTGAGACCGGAATGGATTCTCCGTGACATGACGACCGTGCCGGGACGGATGAGGGTAGCGGAGAACAAGCACGTCAGCATGGGCGGAGACGGGACGGGCTAGCTGAGGGACAGGACACATGGATCAGGAGCGGTAAATGCAGAGCACGTGGATCAGAAGCGGTGGATGCAAAATACATGGATCAGCAGCGGTAGATACAGAACGCGTGCATCAGGAGCGGTGGATGCAAAACACATGGATCAGGAGCGGTAGATGCAGAACACATGGATCAGGAGCAGTAAATACAGAACACGTGGATCAGGAGTGGTAGATGCAGCAATGTGATGCGGACGCCGATATAGGGAAACAGAAACAGAAAACCTTGAAACAGGCGACGACAGGTCGGAGTCTGGCCACGTCCTCTGTGACTCGGGCTTCTGATCCTTTTCCTGAGCGGATGCAGACGGAGGCGTTTCGTCTCATGGGGGAGGATTTCAGCCGGCGAGTGATTGGAGTGGGCCGAACGGCGCGGGGGTGTTTACATGGGCCCAATCCTTCGGCTCAGGTCAACTCAGGTCAGCTCAGGTCGGGTTTCAGCTTAATTCTAATCACAGCGCTCATGTTAACAGGGTTTTTGTAAGAAACATTCCAGAGAATACTGCACAGGAACACGGACTGAGTACAGGCAGAAGTGTGCTGAAATCCACGCGAGCTCCGCAACCGTGCACATCTCACAGTTGGAGGCTAAAACCACCGAGTAGGAGCGGGCTGAAGAATTTGTGGTATGTCAGCCAGCTGGCTGTCAAAGCATCTGCACCAAATATTAACACTAGCGGTGCAAGTGTAATTTGAGGAGATGTTTTTGGTTGGTTCCTGATTTCAGGTCAACTCACTCAAATCATGAGGAGAGCATTAAAATGCCGTGACTTCAGCCCGTGATAAGGGCCGATAACTCAGCATGCGTCAGTTGGCAGCTGCCAAGGATAAACCTCACATATTCCAGCCATCCTAACGACTGCACTTACTCCTCTGATGCGAAGTGTATGGCCGACACATTGAGCTCGTTATTGAGCGCTCGCAGCTTCAGGCCAAGTAGGTGTGAAGAACCAAGGAGATGCGGCTAGGCGAAAAAGGCGGCTAAAAATGTGCTCGTCTCGGGCATCCAGATGTGTCACAGCCTCGTCAAGCGCTGTGACGTCACGGTCACGGCACTGCCGGCAGCTCGGCTCCCTTCTAACACGCTCTGCCGCTGCAGCCTGCAGGACATGGAGTCCGCCATCGTCAGCCTGGACGCGAAAATGAGGGCGGTGGCCAACAGACTACACCGACACGAGTCCAGGTGAGGCTCCGGCCGGTTACAGACTGCACCGACACGAGTCCAGGTAAGGCTCCGGCCGGTTACAGACTGCACCGACACGAGTCCAGGTGAGGCTCCGGCCAGTTACAGACTGCACCGGCACGAGTCCAGGTGAGGCTCCAGTTACAGACTGCACCGACACGAATCCAGGTGAGGCTCCGGCCAATTGCAGACGGCACAACGGCACCCTGGCGGTCATGTGACGGAACTCTGCTTCGCGGGATGCTCCGGGAAGAGAGGCTCCGCGTTTTTTCTGGATCGGATAGCTCAAGTGCGCAAAAACTCATAACTTTGACATATATCGCGATGTGTTTTGGTGATAATAGTGATATCGCGGTGCATATATGACGATGGTGGCATGCCACGACGATAATTGTGGCAATGGCGAGTTTTTCATCTTGCATGTATCTTCCATGGCTCTTCATTTGTGCCTTAATTGCTTTCCTATTTCACCGACTTCGTCTAAAGCTTTTAAATTTTCCTTGCTCGAATGTTGCCGAACTTTGCCTGCGAGACGATTTCGCGTCGTAAACGTCTGATGACGCTGGTATCAGACTACGCCCTTATCCATGGCCGCCCTGCAGGTCGCGCCAAGTGAACGAAGTGACCACGAAGACGCTGCGGGCGATCTTGACCCAGACGGCCGGCCAGAGTCGCAACGTGGAGAGCATCGCCGTCTACATGGCCAAGATGGAGGGCCGCATGCTCACATGGATAGAGCCCTGCAGAAGGTACGCGGCCGCCACCAGCGGGGGGGGAGGCAGGTCGGGGTGTCGGGCTCGCTTGGCGTTCGGAGCCGGGACCAGCTTCCGTCGGGCGGAGCTCGCTGTGTCAGAGGGGCGTGCGGCAGTGAGGAAAAATACATACATCAGACAGTGGAATATATTGGAAGATCGAGGGAGAGAGGAATTAGAGAAAGGAAGAAATGTGGGTAAGATGGGAGATTAAGACGAGCTCAAGAGGGGCAAAAGAAACGGAGAGAAGAACGCAGAGAGCTGATGTAGAGGTGAGGTTGGCAGAGAGGTAAGGGGTTAGGGGGATACGAGAGCGAGAGAGAAAAGAGAGAGAGGAAGAAAGAGAGAGAGAGAGTGAGAGGAAACAGAGAGAGAGGAGAGAGGAAGAAAGACAGGAGAGAGGGGAGAAAGAGAGAGAGAGAGAGAGAGAGAGAGAGAGAGAGAGAGAGAGAGAGAGAGAGAGGAGAGAGAGAGAGAGAGAAGAGAGAGGAGAGAGAGAGAGAGAGAGAAGAGAGAGAGAGAGAGAGGAGAGAGAGAGAGATCGAGAGAGAGAGAGAGAGAAGAGAGAGAGAAGATTAGAGGAGAGCTTCCCTCGCCCAAGAGAGTCTCATCTAAAGAGAGAGAGAGAGGAGATTAGAGAGAGCCGATCTCTCTAGAGAGCTATAACGCTCGAGCTAGAGAGTAAATCGAGCTCCCTGATTCTAGCTCGATGAGCTTTAGATGGCTCTGCAAGGCCTACTCTGCGGCTCGCCGCCGTCCTTCCACACGACACTGTTCTAATTAGCCCATCACGCGTGATGAATGGGTAAACACGGCGGCCTTGTCCGACCGCACAATCCCCTGCACAACCCTTCACCACTCCCACCCAGCTGCGCCGCGTCTTGGCGCGTGTCCAGAGCACGTGCAAAAAGCAGATGCCTGGCCAGGCAACGACCCGCGCGGACAGCGGGTGATGTCACGGCGGGTTAGTTTTGATGTCAGCCTCTAACTTGTCCTCCGTTTTTGGCCGCGGTAAGTGACAATCATTGGGTCGTGATTTGAAGCGGCGCGTTGGATTACATTTAGTTCCCGGTCTCGGCCCTCTCAGGGTGTGTCACACGGATACACGACGACAGCTTGCTGGCGAGGAGGTGTTCAACGATCCCAGGAAGCCTGTTCCTGCAGATCACGGCCGATGACGCAGGCGGCGCCCGCCGACAAAGGCTGAGGCTGCGATCATTAGGGCAGCCCGCGCGCCCCCCGCGCTGTTTTAAGGCCGACTCACGGCCACATGTCACGATATTGCAGTCATGGGGAGTGAATCACGCACTCGAATAAACATACAGGATCATGTCTCGTGTGTTTACAACTTGGCGGACGATTAGGCCCGGACGTTGGCCGCTGCGTGGTGGTCCGACCCTGTGCACAGGGAGGTCGTGAACTCCGTCGCCTGGCATGACAACCCGGTTGTTGCAGCGGCTGCTGAGACCTCCGTCACGGCCGAGGGAGGGGTGGTAGCCAGGGGTGACAAGGGCGAGGGTGACACCGCCGGTGTTATTGGCCCCGCGACCTGTGAGAGCACTTAAAGTGAACGGCGGACAAGGTCATGTTCTCACCGGAGAGGACACTGATAACTTGCCAGCGTTTAGGAAACTGTGGCAACCTGATCTCTCTTACGTAACTGCCCTGGAGCAGCGGAAGTGGATAGACCACTCACCCAGAGCTCTGCCGCATCGCATCTCGGACGCTGCGTCCCGTGTTGCCCGCTGGACATTGGTGAGACGGCAGGATTTTCGTGTTCCTCAGAACGACCGGAAGATGGACGAGGTCCTGAAGCTGCTGAGAGCGCAGCAGAGCCAGGTCATCGAGAGTCGCTCCGCCGGCCCGTCCGATAACGTCGTCAACAAGCTGGACAGCATCGACGAAACCCTGAATGAGAGGTGCGCTGGCGGCCGGACCGCTTCCCGCGAGCGGCGGGTCGTCTGGACTCGCGTTCATCCTATAACACCGGTCAGGGTTCCCAGGCGGGATTTCTTTGATCGTCGGGTATTGGGAAATCACGCGTTCTGCATGATACGCCGAGGCATTGCGCTGGCTTTGGCTGGCGAGGACTCGGCTCCGACGTGTGACGAGCCGACGTGCCGGCACTGCTCCATGAAAACCCATTCAGCGCATCAGTGCAATGTGGCTCACGCTCCGTGTGTCGCCCTGTGGCCAATCGCTCGACTTGCTTCGTGAGTCATGCATTTGTTCCGACTGATGCAGCGGCTGGTGCTGACGTGAGCCGCTGGCTATGAACCCGCTGACTATGAACCCGCTCGTCTGACCCGGCTGACGGGCCGACCCTGCGTGCGACGTGATTCCGCCCCTTGACAAACCGTGCTGAGGGCGTGATGTCCTTGATCCAACCTTCGCAGGTCCGACCGCGCTGATCTGACCACGCTGAGCGCTTGATCCTGCTGACCAGACCCCCAGCTGATGTGGTTGACCGGGCCTGACTTTGTATGTGACTTGATCCCACTGATGGCGTAGCCTTACTGATGACCTGACAGTTGACACCTCTGATGGCCTGATACTGAGGACACTGCTGACCTGACACTGTTGTCTGACCCCGGTAACCCGAACCATCCGACCGGGCCTCACAGACCTGACCCAACTGTCTGACTGTAACATCGCTTCTGACCTGACCCTATCGTAGAACCTGTTGAGCAGACCTGGGTGGCCTGAACCTGCTGATCTGACTCTGCTGACCTGACCCCAGTGAGCTGTACCTGCTGACCTGACCTGACCCGGCCAACCTGACCTCACTGTCCGCCCCAGCTGACCTGATGCCGACGACCTGACCCCGTTGGCCTGACCCCGGTGGCCTGACCCGGTGACCCGCCCCTGGTGACCTGACCCCGATGACCTGAGCGCGCTGACCTGCCCCGGCGTCGGCGTCGGCAGGATGAGCGGCCTGCTGAGCGAGGCGCTCACCTCGCGGGAGAGGGTGACGTCACACCTACAGCGGCAGGACCGCATGATGAACGACCTCGCCAACAGCCTGGGTAGCGTGTCCGGCCTCTCCATGTCCATCCAGCAGACCTCCGAGCAGTTGCAGGGAACCGAGGCCAAGCTGGCCAAGCACACCCAGGTCAGAGACTCACGGCACTTGGGTATGATAAGCTGGCCGGCACACCATTGACCGCACAACTTCCGCGGGCGAGGCGTCATCTGACCGCGTCGTTATTGGTGCAGTAACAAGGCGTGAACAACGCCATTACAAGAGGTGCTCGGATAAGGGTAGCGATTCATGCCATCGTGGAGGAGTAATAAAATGCGTAGGTAACTGCATTTGAAATGTCAAAGCAGTGTCATTTACGCACCTTGCGTACACACTGGCGCTCAATCCTTTGACACACGCAACTACCGCTCTCGCGCTCAGCCTAAATCCGCGGTGTTTCCACGGGCCGGCAGGACGCGGAGACGATCCTGACGCAGCTCTCGGTGGGCGTCGGCGTGCTGATCGACAACGCCCACCAGCTGGGCAACGACTCGCGCCTGGTGGCTGATGACGTCAACGCGGTGCGCCAGGACCTGCAGCGGCTGGCGCGCGACATGGACGCCCGGCAGGTGCGTCCGTGCCGCACGTCGCGCGCCGCGTGCTGCGTGCCACGTGCCACGTATCACGCATGTCCTGTTGGTGTGGCCGAGGCTCTGCAGCACGGAACCGGACGGGGGGAGGGGGAGGGGGGAGGGTAGGAAACCAATGCCCCAGCTTTTGTGGAACAGAATGTCAGGCGCACGGAGTTCTATGTGAAGAGACGACGTAACAACTTTGACGGCGCTCTTCCTCAACCTTTGGCCCGTGGTGGGGCTGCTGCATGCTGGCTAAATTAGCCGCGATAGCAGAAGTCTTTTGATTCAGATCTAGAAGCAAGTGGCGTTAGGAAGTGAATCCTGACGGGTGTGTTTTTTCTGTCCCTTGTGTTGGCTATCGCAGATTCAGGCGCCACCACTAAGGGTTCTCAGACGCGGTTGAACGCTGCTGTCCGGTAATGCGCACGTGACCTCGACACCTTGACCCAACGTGCCCCGGATCGGCCCCTCGCCCGCCAGGTGGAGCTGTTCAGCAGCCAGTACCAGACCAGCAGCCAGTCGAGTGACGTGTACGACAAGATCAAACGGGACATCGACCTAGCGACCAACAACACGGCCGCGGAGATGGGCCAGCTGCGCTCGGAGGTGAGGTCGCCATCTGCGCATGCGCACGCAGACCAAGGTGGGATGACCTGGAGGAACTAGCAGTTTCTGAGAGATAATTTTGTGAGGGCTTTCATTGCGCCGCCGTTATGGCTGTGATGATTGGTGATGACCAAATGACCGGTGAGGGGTTTCGTTTTAGAGGTTAGTTCATGAGCAACACTCGATTGCCAAAGTCAGAGTCACCTACGCGCGCCCGAAAGTTTTCTCATGCTTGCCGCGTGCGGTCATCCCGACGGACGCTATGCGAACACGCGGCATCTGCTGAGAGGCGTCAGTCAGTGGCAGCACACACTCTGCCCATGGGTCCGCGGCGATGCATCACGCAAGGGCGGCAGTAAAACGCCAAGTCACGTCATGGACATTTAAAGATGAGACGAGCCGCACTCTTTCGAAACTGACGACCTCATGAGCCACAGCTGCGGTCAATGTTGATCAAAAGCTCATGGGCCCCTCGCTCCCGTATCCTTGTTGGGTGTGCCGTGACGAACGAACAGCAAAGTTGATGATGCAAGTGATCCCGAGGGCACAGGGTCAGTGTCACTGACCTGTTGCAGGCGGGGATAACGGGCGGAAATGCACACCTCGCGCTGGTGCGAGCACGCGTGTGTTGCGAGCATCGGACTGGCTGGGTGGGAGCTGATGTGCGGGGGTAGTCGTGGCTGGGTGGTAGCTGCTGTGAGGGGATAATAGTGGTTGGGTGTAAGCCGCCATGTGGGGTTGGTCGTGGCTGGGTGGCAGCTGCTGTGTGAGGATGATCGTGGCTGGGTGGCAGCTGCTGTGTGAGGATGATCGCAGCTGGGTGGCAGCTGCTGTGTGAGGATGATCGCAGCTGGGTGGCAGCTGCTGTGTGGGGGTAGTCGCAGCTGGGTGGCAGCTGCTGTGTGGGGGTAGTCGCAGCTGGGTGGCAGCTGCTGTGTGGGGGTAGTCGCAGCTGGGTGGCAGCTGCCGTGTGGGAGTAGTCGCAGCTCGGTGGCCGCCGATGTGCTCACATGCCCGACTGCCTCGCATCTGCCGCGTAAATTGCCTGGTATATTACTGTGCCATGCCTCCGGCGATGGTTCCTTGTGCTGCTAAGCTAATAAGACGGCACTCGTGAACGTGGCGTGTTCGTGGAACGGAGGTCTAAATGGTCAACAGATATGACCTTCAGATGCCAAACAATGCATGGCTAATAGACATTTGAGTGAGCTGAATCATGTCAGTTAGATATTCAGCCGGTAACAGTGGGAGGGCATGGTTTGCGTTGCTGCTCATTTGCCACCTATCTCACGGGACCCCCGCTGCGGCAAATTGTGGAGATCGGCGCGGAGAGAGACCGCGTTTGCCGCCTATCTCACGGGGCCTCTGCTGCTGCAGATCGTGGAGATCGGCGCGGAAAGGGACCGCGTTTGCCGCCTATCCCACGGGACCTCTGCCGCTGCAGATTGTGGGATCGACGCGGAGAGAGAGATCGCGTTTGCCGCCTATTTCACGGGACCTCTGCTGCTGCAGATTGTGGAGATCGGCGCGGAGAGAGATCGCGTTTGGCCGCCTATCTCACGGGACCTCTGCTTGCTGCAGATTGTGGAGATCGGCGCGGAGAGAGATCGCGTTTGCCGCCTATCTCACGGGACCACTGTTGCTGCAGATTGTGGAGAGCGGCGCGGAGAGGGACCACCTATCTCACGGGATCTTCGTTGCTGCAGATTGTGGAGATCGGCGCGGAGAGAGACCGCGTTTGCCACCTATCTCACGGGATTTCCGTTGCTGCAGATTGTGGAGAGCGGCGCGGAGAAGGACCCGCGTTTGCTGCCTATCTCACGGGACCTCCGTTGCTGCAGATTGTGGAGAGCGGGCGCGGAGAGGGACCGCCTGGTGGACGCTCGGATGGAGGGGCTGAAGGGCGGCCAGACGCAGCTGACCAACATGGTTCAGGAGTCGATGGCCATGGCCGAGGGGCTCTACGAGCGGGTCAACCAGGGCTACAACGACCTGAAGAGGGAGATCCAAGGTGCGGACTCATGCCGCCGATCCAGTTGCTGTCACGCTGTGGGACGTCTCCCATCTGAAGATGGTTCTCACGTTCCCGCAGGCCAATTACTGAGAGATGCGCGCGGTCGCTAGACGGACACAATTCTGTATTCTAACGTGATGTAGATTCGCAGCGATTTTTCAAGGCCAGTGTCTTCATCGTTTTTAGTTTTTTTTTCATGAAGGCTGTCTTCCGTGCGCACATGTACTATCTGGTAGCTTTCCGTGCACACTTTGTGAATGCAGTTACTCCGCACATACACGCGACTCCGGTGGAATGCTGGCCGTGATGTTCCTGACGTGACAGCGCCTCTTGCCTGTCTTGTCCAGGCCTGTCGAACCTGGAGGAGGTGATGGTGGACACGGCGGACAGCGTGCTGGACACCAAGCGGCGGCTGGAGTTCGGCGTGCAGCAGATCCTGCTGGAGGTGGAGGCGGCCGTCAAGGCGCAGGGCATCAAGATCAACGGCACGTTCTCCACCAAGTTCGGCAGCATCTCGCAGGAGATCCTGGCCAACCAGTCGGTGGCGCTGCACAACATGACCAAGTCGATCGAGGGCGAGATCGCGCAGGTCTGGCGCCAGATCGGCGTCATGTACCAGACGCTCTCGAGCTCGGCGGATGTGCTGGACAAGATCGATGACAAGACCACTCAGTATGTCAACGGCTCGCTTGAGCAGACCGAAAAGGTACCCTGCCGAGTACACAACACGCGGCGCGCACAGCGGCCGCTCGATTTAGCTAGGTTCGGTCAAGGTTATTTCTGGATATGGTAACCAATTTGCCTGATTATCCAATAGTATAAGGTAACCAGTTACCTTTGCCTGGTTACTCCAATGTGCTCTTTATCCGCAATCGCTGCAACGCAATGTTTGGAGTCATGCTAAGCAGCAGCAGCAGGAGAACAGCTTGAGAGTTCTTCGTTGTTGCGTATAGAACGCACTCTCGTAACCGACATATCCTAAATTGGGCAGCACGTGTTGTTAATTCTTTTCAGGCTTCGCAGGGGTAGACCAATCACTATTTGCAACGTATAACATAATCGCAGTGTCCATGTCCATATACATGTCCTCGCTATTTGCACCGTACCTCTGTTTTCAGAGCGTTCACATTTACTCGTCTCCGTTCACAGTTCCGTCATTGCGTGCCAAGCTAAACCACTTGAGTAAGAGTGTCATCACCGCCTCCCCCCCCCCCCCCCCCTCTTCAGGTGGACGGCACGGTGGGCGACGTGGCTAAGCGCGTCGGCGAGGTGGAGGAGAACCTCAACTTCCTGCTGGGCCGCCTCTCGCTGGTCGTCTCCGAGTTCAACCAGATGAAGTCGGGTATCGGCGCTGAACTCGACCTGCTGCGCACCAAGTTCAAGACGTTCGGCCCCGAGTCGGCCTACGTCGTCAGCGACGCCGGCGGCGCCGACGGCGACGGCGGTCTGCGGAAGATACCGATCCAGTGACGGCGCGGCGCGGCGGCGTGAGAGCGGCGCAGCGGCGTGAGGGCGGCGCCGGGAGCCGGCGGGGTCGGAGGCGCGCGGCCGGGGTGGTTTTGCGGCGGTGCGGCGCTCGGTCCGGTGTGGAGAGCGTCACTGTCACAGGCCGGAGTGAACTGGGTCGCAGTGCGAACGGCCTCGGCAGCAGAGCGCACGCTTTTTGCGAGGTTGATCTTTTTGTACAGTGTGACGTATTTTAAGGCTCATTAATTTCAGTCGCGCTGACGGAGGGTCGAGGCTGGGAGATGAAAGTAGATCTTGTGGCGTTATCATGCGAGTAGGTTTTCATTGAGTGTGTAGGATAATTTCAGCCATACGCATCGGGCTGCAGGGCTTTGGAAAACATCGAAAATCCACGCTCTGTCATGCGGCCGAAATGAGTTGCATCCATGCTGTCGGTAACTGTCGCGAGCTGGTCTCAAAGCGCTTTGCTTTTCACGCCCCGTACTCACTGCTTCCATTTCGCTCTTGTGTTAAGATTGCAGTGGTGTGCTGTTAGCAAACATCGTCATAAACGTCTCCGCTAATGTCCTGCCGGCGTGCGGGCCGACATCTGCGTGGCCCACCAGCGCTGCGTCGTGACCTTTCACCGCCGCCCGTCGCAGCCGGCGCCGGAGACGGATGGGCGCGGCGCCCCAGCAGCCCCCTTCCGGCGGGCAGCGGGCCGCCTGCTGCGGCAGCGTCCGCGCCCACGTGACGCCTCTGCGCTCTGGTGTCGCCGCACGTCCAGACCGCTGGCCGATGTATACAGCGGGGGGCGCGCGCGGTGTACACACGAGCGGCCGTTCACCGGACAGCGTGGCGAAATACACGGAGCTTTTGTGCCGCTCGGTTCACTGGCCGTCCACTGCGGGCTGGCGGAGGCGGCGCTCTGGCGACGTCCGCGACCGACCGAGCCCCCGGGGACGCCCGAGCGGTCGGCGGAGCCCCCGGGACGCCCGAGCGGTCGGCGGAGCCCCCGGGACGCCCGAGCTGTCAGCTGCGGGTGTCGAGCGTGTGCGAGATGTCCTGGTCGGCTGGTGAGGACGGTCGTCTGGCGCTGGTCGGAGGGCACCAGGACGGCTCGGCTTGAAGACGTGGTGACAAGGAGCAACTCTGCACAAGCTGCGGCTGCTAAGCGATCTATGATGGGGAGAATAAAAAGGCGATAAAACAGAAGTGACACGATGCGCGATTCAGCCACAAATAACGTCCCCGCAGAAACTTTCCAGCTTATTCAGGCTTTTGGAGCCTCCATTAGACATTATCGTTTTCTAATAGGCGAAACAACAAATCTGAGCACGCCATGGGCGGGCCGCTGCAGAAACATGACACACTTAGCTCATGTTACATGCCATCTTCGGTGATCGCTTCTAAAGCGGGCATGTTTGACGCCGTCTGGCCGAATTTAGGGGTCAACTGATATTATCATCATTAATGTTATCTCACGCTTGGGCTTAACACCGCAGAGTGATAAACATTACAAAAAAGAATGGACGAAGCAAGCATTTGGCAGCACAGACTAAATCATCATCGTCAAAAGGCGGCGGGATTTATCAGAAAGTTCTTATAGAAGGGGCCGGTGGGTGCCCACCCCTCCTTCTTCATCCTGTGGTCTATGTGACCAGCGGCCAGATTCAGGGTCGACTGGAGACAGCAGTTCGTTGGGCATTTGGTAGATGGTGCGAGCTGATATATTTACGAGCCACCCTCGATGTTCGTGCAGGACAAAATAACAGGATATTGTATGACTTGTGAGGCAACTAAACCGAGCGCGCGCACCAGCCTTTTTACTGTAAAAGTGTGTTGCGAGACTTCCTCCTCCCCCCCCCCCCCCCCCCCCCCCCGGCGGTTGAGCGCGGACGTTCAGTGCGCTCACGTCGCAGTGTCACGGTCACATTTACGGCCGTGTTTGTCCAGGATCGTGCACTAAGCCACGCCAACTTTGATGATTATTCCTTATTCGCCAGGGTCTCAACTCCGTACGTTTTCATTAACTTTTATTTACTTTACAGTGTACATAGATTATATCTCATGTTTCGCTTGTCTGGGTGGGTCAAATTAATCACGTTGTTCACCTTCCCTACGTAGCCTCGTACATCTGGTAAGCCCATGCGTTCTATGGGATTCAAGTGTGATTCCGTTTGGAATCCCGTGAGACATTCCGATCGGAATCTGGTAGGATCGTTTTCTCGAAATTTCATGGAACTGTGTGATCGGATCCGGACAGATTTTTTACTGGGGTAGACTTGGGGTAACCTGGGTCTTACTGGGGTAATCTTGCTGCTAAGGCAGAATCGATTTTTCCTTTTTCCAACATGATCTTACAGCGTATTAGGTTGATTCCATGCCTGCCTTTGAGGCGCGAAGCCAATAATTTGAGTCGACTTCCATTCCAACTCACCGAGATGTGGTGTGAGCCCGAAATCGAATCCAGTGGATTCGGAATTCGAATCCAGTGGAATCGAATCGAATCTCGGGACGGAGATTGTTGTGCATCAAACTCCCCAAGCCACGAACAGCCCATACAATGCATCTGCATTTTGATAATGAACAGCTAGCCCTTCAGTGGCTCATTTGCCGCAGATGTAACGGCTGTCAGAGTAATATTATTTGTCGCCATTTTTATTTTTATTCAAGACCATTCGTCGCCGGTGACATATCATCGGTAAACCTTAACTTTGTACGGAAGCTAGTGTATGCGGTCGGTGACTACAGAATGAAAAGACATTGAAGCTCAATCAGATCAACGGCTCGATATTTATCAGCCGGTCAATTTTGTGAGGTCTCATTTGGCATTAGCATTCTTGATGCGGAATTATCCGCAATGAAGTATTTTAAACGGACATTGTTGAAGGGAGTGCTCCGCATTTGATGGAGTTTTCGGCTGAAAGAGCCATCTTGAACATCCCTCGGTGCAGTTCACGGCCCTGTCCTTCTTAGGACCTAAACCCTTGTAGCTTCGAAGCTACACGCCCAAGAGGATGTGCAGACTTTTTCTGAGACTATTTCAAGGTCACCCAGTATCAATCCTTTTAAATGTGGAAAATGAGAAGTTTGTTCGTTTCAATATTTTCAAATGCAGAGTATTCCTTTTTAATGCGACCTGCGGCTAGTTCTTTGGGCTCGTGGCCTCCTGTCAAGAGGACAAGAGGCTGTCCAATCAGGCCCTTGATCTTTGTTCACGAGGGCCCCTTCGGCCCCTCTTCGGACCTCCTCAGGTAAAGCCTGTGGCCGAACCGGGGCCACTAGCCGACACATGACCTCCTGTTAGGTACTGTGAGCCCCTGACTGACACAGGGGCCCCAAACATTGTTGCAGGGAACCAGATCAATGCTAATCGTGGCTCCGGCCCGCTCCTGCTGGAGAAATGGGCCCCCAAGTTTCAGACTGACAGGGAGCCAACTGTCCAGTGTTCGTTGTCGACTGCGCCACCTTTTCTGCCTTGGGGGTCCTCAAATGGTGCAAGAGTACATCTGACTAATATTTCAGGTCACGACCCGTAGGGTCGTGACTCTTTATGTGACCTACAGACAGTTCTTCGGGCCCTTATGTCCTCCAACCGAGCCCTTGATCGTCGGTTCCAGTGGGCCACCCGGGTCCTCTTCAGCCCCATCAGTCACTGCTCTCGGTCGGCTCAGAGCCTTTGCGAAAACACAACTCCTTGTTAAGCACTGTGAACCCCCGAAACATACAGGGACCCCCGACAAGTGTAAATCGCTGGCCCAGTCTTTGTTGCTGATTGGAAGTACGATCTCAGGACCCACACCGACACGGAGCCGACTGGGCGGTACTGGTGGTGCCTGACCAACACATAGGTCCATATGAACTCAGGGGATCCCCGATCGGTGTGCAAAAGGCGCTCTGTCATTTGAGGTATAGTTCCTGCAGGCCGAGACCCTGAATATGACACCCACCAGCTCTCCGTGCTCTAAAGCCCTCCAATCGGGCCCTCCACCATCGGCCTCGGTGGGCCCTCCAGGTTCTTCGGGCTTCTTCGAACACCACGTCTGGTCAGCTTGGGGCCCCTTGCCAACACAGGGCCGCCTATTAAACGCTATATGGGCGCTAACAGACGCTGAGCCCGGCCAGCGTATCCCTGCTTGGGAAATAGGCCCCTAGGTACACACCGAAAGGGAGCCGACTGTGCGTTATTGGTGTTGTCTGATCGACATATAGGCCCTTATCGACTCAGGAGCCCCTGATCAACGCGCAGGGCCCCCTGGTTGGCACTGGAGCATCCGAGCTCGGTCCCTGAATGCGACCTCCGGCTGGCTTTTCGGGTCCCTTCGGACCCTTTCTCGTAGGGGTCTGGAGGGCCCCTCAGAACCTATGAGTGCGCATACCCTTTGTACCCCCTGCCTGCGCTACTGGATTCGACTTGAAAATGCAACCTAATGTGGCCAAGGCGTCTGATTCGTTTAACCACCAGAGTTTCGTACAGGTCAAGTATATTCGAAAACTATTTTGCCCATTTCTACAAAGAGACTGTTTACGGCGCAGCTGCGCCAATGCGGCGAAGCGCTTCTCCGAAGGAAAAACACGCTCAGGGAGGCCGCTCCGCAAATAGGGCGGCCGCGTGATACATTTGGGAGCGTGTCTACTGAGGAGGCGCACAAATATTGAGTTTCGTGAACCGAGGTTTTGGGCTATTCCTATTTGTTTCTATGGCACACTTTTGGATTTGATGAAGGCCCGAGCCTCATGAAGGAACCCTGCGTAACAGTTGTAATCACAGCTGCCGCACGGCCACCGATAGCAAGCCTCGGCTAGATATCATAATTTTCACTTCGTTGGTGGGTATTTCATATGTTGAATGTTTTGCGTACCTTTGTGACTGTCTGTCATAATAAGTGCAGTTTTTGCGAAGGTATTCTGGAGGTGTGTCATTGCAGCCATCATCTTGTGTCCCGTCCCAACCCTGACAGAATGGTTGGTATTTTTCTGTCACATACAAGTTAAGGAACTCCAACAGTTTTCTCGTGCCAGCTAGAAAAATTCGAGTCTGAGCAAATCATAGCATTGGATAATGTGTTTGATCCTGCATCAAGTTTTTATAGCTGAATGTATGTTGAAGTTACCCAGAAGGGCCCATGACAGTCTATTAGGGTAAGCAAAGTTGAGGCTCTATTTCTAGCCCCACAGCTTTGTAGGCTGTGGTAGCATGGATACTGGTATTACATAGATCTTGACAGCTGAATGGATCTGTCATAGTAACTTGTCAGCAGGTGTGACCATTGACATTTAAAATACAGTGTCACACATCCAATCCTCTATCCATGGGCACCACCCTGTTATCTTAAGATCCAAGAATGGGTTGACAAAAAAACTAACAATGAGGGATAGTAATTGTTAAACTGTATTATACAGCGATTTAAGGGATGTGTAGGCTTCCGACATTGCAGAATATATGACTTCTTGTACACTTTTACAGGCAGCAGATACTTTTGCAGTGACATTAGAGGTTCTTTAATGCTTATTTGCTGAATAGCATACTGAATATCAGTGTGTGAGTGTCAATGATGTCATT